GTATGATAACGAAGAGGACATGCAACCGTTTGAAATTTCGCAGAATGGATGAAATTTCAAACGGTTGCGACAAGACGCAGCTGAAGAGCTGTCATGAAATTTATTGACGCCAATAAATTCTGCCGTATATGCGTGTTTTATCCCTCGATCTCTTTCCCCTTTCCTACAGACAACTTCGAGGGGATCTCATCCTTACCTTCCATATTATGAATAACCTGGATTGTTGCTTCGTCCCCGGCGATTATTTCGTCCAGACTAATGCACCAACGTTGCGCGGGCATCCCCTCAAACTACGCCCCGGCAAAGCAAGGATCGACAGACGAAAGTTCTTCAGCAACAGATTAGTTGCAGGGTGGAACGCCTTCCCGGAGAGGTTGTCCTCTCCACCTGTGTTAGTTTATTTAAGACATGCAGCAAATCCCATCATGACACGCCACCGTGTAAAACGACATTACATCACACTATACTACCCGTGATTAACGAGTACTTATGTTTTTTACTATTTCGACTACCTGACAACTGCTGTGCCATCCCCCAGAACATGCAATTGACGTACTGTTTAAATTTTTATTTGTATCCATATATTTCCTATTATCTTGTTACCAACAGGGAGTTCAAATGCGTTCAACTCTCTTTCCCTCAATAAACTGATATAGAAATCCCCACCATTTTCTAAATCGAACCTGGTAGAAGTTACACTTTGGTCGAACGCCCCTTAGTTATAAAATAGAGTAGCAGGGGAAAGTTCGAAACTCCACATCTAGGCTCGGTAGAACACTGAGCAGACAACTTACGAGACGGACAGTGGTCCGAGCATACTGCAAGTTCGATGTTAGACCTTTTGGATCAAAGGCAACCGAAATGGCCATTTCGGGCTTATTAGCCGTCGTCAGCCAGTCATACCCAGACCCAAGTGGTGTACCACTCGAGATTCGAAATCGCGACCTTTTTGGTCAGAGTCAACCGCCCTAACCATCGTGCCACGAGCTCGTCGTCTTGCCGGTTTAGGTCAGGAGATATTGACACTAGTTGATGAAGTATCACCGACCGCTAACGCAATTCACTTTTCCAGCTCTGCCTTTGCCTTGAGCCCGTCTGAACTACAGGAAGACACTTCGAATTTAATGGTAGGCGGAAACCTCCTTTGACCCTAGTAACGCACCAATGAGCAATTTCCACCAATGTAACCTGCACAGCCGTTGCGCGTCTGAATTCCATCCCTATAGAATGAACTGCATCCTAACTGCGGCGAATAGTCTATCAGAGTAAGCATTGGTGGCATTAGAGTTTGGCCAGTTTGATTAATCGCGGGTGCAGCGGCAGCAACTTTGTCCGGCTGTCAGTCAGCATGATAGATGGACCTTCTCACCGTAGCTAAGACTCATAGGCAGATGAGGTCGATAATACAAGTAGATTATTGGTTTGATGTTTCGAATTCTCCATCGGATTCATCAACGGACAATCACAAATAAGGGTAATGGAGGCGCAAGCAGCGTCCGAATCGATATCAAGGTGCGAATAAACAAGCCACCATCGCAACACATACGACTCCTGATGATGAACGTGAGGGCTTCCAATTATTGCAGGTATGCGGTTGTCAACCCACTGCGCCCTATAAGAGTTGCGCACCTCTTCTGCTTCCATTACCCTCCGGCGATAGTTTCGAGTGACCAATTCGACGCGTCAAGCCAATAAACCTATCTCAGAAATCGCACCTTCTGTCGAATTGTTTCCTTTAACTCGCACCAACCGCGGCCAGCGGTAAGACACTTCGAAACATGATCAGCCGGTGACCACAGCCACCACACTGGGTCAGACGACCTAGCTGAATCCCGTAATATGTGGATCCCTAAGTTCACACTTGCACCGATCTAAACTTACAGCTGAGATGCAGACATCTACCTTAACTTCCAGCAGTTCCAAGGACGACGTGGTCGTGTGAATTTATTCTGCTCGCAGACTTTAGTTCAACCGTTGAAAGTGCCTTTGGATGTATAAAGAGAAATTGACCGCATCAAACATCCCAAGATAGCTGATAGCCATGATGTTAGTATTGCCAGTGGTGGGTTGTGTGTGCACAAAGACAACCACCTTGCCCTAAGAGCGATCCACGTCGAGTACGGTACACAGTCGTTGCAAGAACGCCGCAAATAGATCCCAGATTATCCAGGGAAAATAGCACATATTGGACGAGTTTTTCTTAAATCTTCGATTCCACGCATTCGGCATCAGAAAAATCCACCGCTACCTTACAGCCAACTAACAAAGACCTAACTTGAAACGGCCCGTCAAAGTGACTCCGCGAGGGCCGACATGTCGGCTAGAGGAGCGAGTTCAATGTGTCCGCAGATGATCTTGCGCGGAGCAACGCGACTGAGGCCAGCTAGACCAACTATGATCACGCTGATATCAATCATGGGCAAGATTTACGTCTAGAGCCACTGGATATCATAGTTACAGAAGAGACCCTGCCGGTGTCTAAAAACAAACGTTTTACCGGGAGGAAAACACTCCTGCCAGAATGCATGACAGGAAATCGAGGATGACGCCACAGGAGGATAAAAACGCATTCTGCACCTGCTCCTTACATGCGAGGACACCGACTCGTGATTCTGGGCAAACAATAGGTAGCGCCAACCACAGGAGAAAAGAGCAGGCATTTACAGAGGTGAGTCACAAAGAAGATGATGAGTAAGCTTTCCGGCTAGCCTACACGAGTCATCGCCTGGAGACACAAGTAAGTATCAGGAAGAGGCCTTTCGCGACTCCGCCTCCCTTCTAGGTAAGCACGTGACAAAGAACAACGGCCGCCTGCAAGCAGCGTGGGGGAGGGGGGATGCGTACACCAATGGAGGGTCGTTTATTCATGTAGACACAATAACAATGGGTCGATAAGATTTTTTATACAGTGCGGTGAAAAAGAGAAAACATAATAGAAAAAATTGTAGAATACTGAAGTGCCGTGCGCAAAAGCAGCCACATTTAGCAAAATCCGCTCCGGCCGTAAAGCGACGACAAGATGTAAAAATACAAAGTTGGAGTGCAAACTGCATGTGTGGCGGGGACGGGGGGGAGATGATTGTAGCATACGTCGGGTCGTATGACTGTGGCAGTGGCAGCCACCGTTGCTGATTCACCAGCAAATATGAGTGTGAAAGAAACGGTAACTCCTCCATTCTGCGGCTAATTTTGTTCTTTCGTCTGGAAAGGCTACGACTAGCAGAAGAAAGACGGGGATTGACTGTCCAAACGATAAGCTCGCGGTGTAAACTTTGCAAGATGCAAGCGCCGACTGATTGACTCAAAAATTAACAGGGAGCATTTAAGACGACTCTCGTGACTGTTACGGATGTGAAAGGGAGGAACAAATGTAACTAAAAGTACAAAAAGAAAGACCAGATTTTCTCCGAAAGACGAAGCGTTTTGCAGGTGATTAAATGCAATGAAAATCGAGTAAAAAACTCTGGATTAGAATGAGGACATTCAGACCGTAGTGTCCGGCGAACATCCAATCCCGATCAATAATTAGTGTATAGATGTGGCGGCTAGGAGTAGCTAGAGTCAAGAGGATTATCGAGCATACTGGCGTTCAGCCAAAATGACTAGGAACATTCATAGATGCGAGACAAGAACGTGTGAGGGACTAGAGCGATGCAAGGTCCGCGAAGGGGCGGGCGGGCGGGGGAATCTCGGTAAAAATGACGATAGGTGGAAGAACCTAGAGAAGATCGGTGGAATTCCCCTCGCAGAAGATCGATTGTAGAAAGCCCAGATTGGGAGAAGGCAGGTCTGGGTAGGATTCCAAATCCATCCATTCCTATGAAAGGAGACACTTTCAGGATTTAAAAAAGCCAATCTTACCTGCTCCGTAAACAGATCACAAAGTTCGGCTGTCAACTGATCTTCAAAGTCAGGAACGATCTCCTCCGATGACAACGAATTCTGCGATCTTGGGTTAAGAGATGGCGCGTGTGATGCAATGTGCTTTCGAAAGCACGTAAGTGAGACGTACATCCTCTGGCAATAGGGGCAGTTGTAGGGTGGCAGTTTGGCGGCCTGGTGGAAAATGGAAGCCACCTCGGACTGAGAATAGTCCAGTATGTCTTTCAGGCAATTCTTACCTTCACCACCACCACCACCGCCACCACCACCACCACCACTCCCAGAAGAACACGAGGAGTCTGACTCCGTGCAACTGCTTCCTGATGGTTCAAAAGAGCCAGTAGTGATAAAGCCAATGGGCAAACCATTGCGTTTCCGATTGGATAGCTTTCTGCTGCTGTGTCCACAAGCATGGCCCAGGGGAGGCCCGACATCGGCAGAATCTTCAAGGCCTCCCAGCTGGAATTCATTTTCTAACGCCAGCGATGCACCGCAAATGTTGCACAACTTTGTGCGGTGTTCTAAGTAGACAGAAAAAAATGTAGTCATAAAAAGTACGACGTATGTCAGCTTACTTAGGTGCGTCTGAATATGTCCATTCAGGGAGTGACTGGAGGAGTAGGTCTTGTCGCAGAACTTGCAAGGATACCTAGTTGTGACGGAATGTTTGCGTCTAATGTGACGCTTTAAGTAGGCTGGAAGAGCAAATGTCTGCCTGCAGTAGAGACAGGCAAAAGAACCCTTGCAGGTCTGCACATGCGCTGCAATCTCGCTGACTGAAAAGCACTGATCGCAGGTTTTGCAGGAGGCAAACAGGGATTCTTCGTGCGCACTGCCAACGTGCCGCATAAAGTCTGAGTCACTGTTCACGGAGAGTGAACAAAACGGACAGACAATCCTCCTCCCATCC